CTGTTCCTGGCTATTCCAGCTCAATATATATTTATTGACTGAATAATTGAAATGTAAATGTGCACTTGATCCCCATAAAAGTTGAAGCAAGAGCTCACAAATACCCATGGGCTAAATTCATCTTACAAGTATGTTTTATTTGGTTGGCATTGTGTTTGAAAACTCTTTTAAGCCAATATTCATAAATTGGAGCATTCTACTCAAACATCTCAATTTCCAGAATCGTGTGAGATTTTCCGAGGAATCAGATCTGCATTCACGCATGGTGCTAATCAGCAAGAACCATGGCTTAGATCCACAGTCCCTCCCCATCACCCCCATGTAAGAATGCCTACATTGCAGCAGCTCTCCAAGGCCTTTCCCCTTATTTTTGTTTTCTACTTGGCTCATGGAGTCCATTGAGTTAGCAACCCTGGTGTCTCCATTAGGTTCTCCTAAAAACAAATACTAAAATAGAAAGTGTCAACAACAAGATAGAAGGTATAAGAAAAACCAGTTGGAAATTTTAGAACTAAACCCTACACTAACCAAAGTAAAAGGCTCAGTGGATGGACTAAATAGCAGGATGGAAATGACAGAGGGAATCAGTGAACTTGAAGATAGATTGATAGACATTCTCTAACCTGAACAACAGAGAAAACTGGAGGAAAATGATCAAAATCTCAGGGACCCATGCAACAACAACATGTCTAACGTGTATGCCTTCTGAGTCCCAGGAGACAGAGAGGGTATGTGGGGCTAAAAAATATTTGAAGAATATAATTTCAGGAATCCAAAGTGAGGGAGAACAAGGCAGGGAGGTGGGGTAAGCGGACAACGGTGCTTTAGTGAGCTGGTTGCCGCCTTACCCACCTGGAGCTCAGTGTTGCTGGGATCCTCTGAGATCATGTGCAGAATAAGCCAGAGTTGCACCATCCAGGGCTGGGGAAGCTGGATATCTATACCTGCACTCCCATCCCTTGTGGGTAAGAATTGCTCCTCATGGCATAAACTGCCCAGCTGCCAGACAACACACCCCTCCCCCCTGCAATACTTGGCCCAGCAGGCTCCTGAGGGGAATTTGGAAGCCATTGGTACTCAAAGGAACCACCCATGTAACTGCTGAAGCCACAGGGGCTTCAGGGTGGGCTGAAGGATATGGGTAGGTGTATGAGTTGCCTATCACTGCATAACAAATTGCCACACATTTAAAAGCTTAAAACAACTCACATTCATAACTCCCAAGTTTCCATGTGTTAGGAGTCCAGACATGGCTTGACCGGGTCCTCTGTTCAGGGTCTCCTGAGGCGGTGGCCAAGGTGTGGTCAGAGGTCAGACTGTATTCTCCTCTGGGGACCACCTGGGGACCATCTGCTTCTGATCTCATTCAGGTTGTCTGCAGAGTTCATTTTCTTGTCGCTGTGTGACTGAGGTTCTGGATTTTTGCTGTCACCCTCAGGTTCTAGAGGCCATGTGCAGCTCCTAGTCTCCCTGCCAAGTGGGCTTCCTCAACATGTTGCTTACTCATCAAGCCAGCCAGAGACTTATATAGTGTAATCCAATCAATGGACTGACATCTCAATACCTTCACCATATTCTATTGGTTAGAAATGAGTCACAGATGTCATCCACACTGAAGGGAAGGGAATCACAAAAAGGCAGGGACTCTAGGCTGGAAGTCACTAGGGCCACCTTAGGATTTGTGTCCCACAGTGGGGCATCCACAGCTTTGGGTGTGGATTATGTGATTTTCAGTCATAGACCTGGGTATCAGGCCCAGGCTTGCCTCTGGCTGTTCTACCTCCAGCCACTATGTGCTAGGGGCTGCTGTGGGTACAGGGCCCCAGGGGTTTCCTGGCAGCAGGTGCAGTGAGGGCTCAGATGTTCTTTCACTCTCCCATTGCTGGCCCCTTCCCAAATTCACTGTGTAATCTCAGGCAGCTTGCCTGCGCCCTCTGGGCCTAAATGTTCTCAGCCTCATGGGTGGCTGGGGGGACATAATGTTTGTGAAGGGTGTGAGTTCTGACCATGCTAGGAGGTCCACAAATATTGCAATTATTATCATTGTTATCCTCTGCTTCTACTTCCCAACAAACCCCCTTTAGGTCTCCATGAACACTCCCTGATTTGTTTATTTAAAAAACCTTGATCTGTTTTATTTATTCTATGATCTAGCAAGTGGCTTCATCATAACCTAAACCAAAATTTAGGTAAATATTAATATTGTTTTATACTTTGTTTTTTTCTTTTTATAAAGTATATTTTGTTATTACAGTTGCCCCAATTTTTCTCTGTTTGCCCCCCTCTGCCTGGAACTCCCCTTCCCTCCAGCAATTCCCCACCTTTAGTTCAGGTCCATAGGTCATGTATATAAATTCTTTGGCTTCTCCATTTCCTTTACTATTCTTAACATCCCCATCTATTTTGTACCTACTGATTATGCTTCTTAATCCCTGCATCTTTTCCTCCACTCTTCCTCTTACCCCTCCCAGCTGATAACCCTCCAAATGATCTCCATACCTATGATTCTGTTCCTGTTCTGATTGTTTACTTGTTTTTTTAAATTCATTTGTTGATAGTTGTGAATTTGTTGCCTTTTTAATGTTCATAGTTTCTATCTTCTTTTTCTTAAGTCCCTTTAATATTTCATATAATAATGGCTTGGTGATGATGAACTCCTTTAGCTTTACCTTGCCTGGGAAGCGCTTTATCTGCCTTTCCATTCTAAATGATAGCTTTGCTGGAGAGAGTAATCTTGAATGTAGGCCCTTGTTTTTCATCACTTTGAATACTTCTTGCCAGTCCTTTCTTGCCTGCAAAAGTTTCTTTTGAGAACTCAGCTGATAGTCTTATGGCTTATGGGAACTCCTTTGTAGATAACTATCTGCTGTTCTCTTACTGCTGTTAGGATTCTCTATCTTTAATCTTTGGCATTCTAATTACGAGGTGTCTTGGTGAGGTCTTTTCTGGATCCAATTTATTTGGGACTCTGTACTTCCTAGACTTGTATGTCTAATTCTTTAGCCAAATGAGGAAAGTTTTCTTTATTTTTCCAAATAAGTTTTCAATTTCTTGCTCTTCCTCTTCTCTTTCTGGCAGCCCTATGATTTGGATATTGGCACATTTGGAGATGTCTGAGTCTTCTTATACGGTCCTTTTTTTTTTTTTTTTAATTCATTTCGTCTTTCTGTTCTGGTTGAATGTTTATTTCTTATGTTCCAAATCATTGATTTGAATCTCTGCTTCCTTCTCTTCGCTGTCTGTTCCCTGTGGATTTTTCTTTATTTCACTTAGTGTCACCTTCATTTCTTCCTTCATGTTTTTGCCTTACTCAGAGTTCTTTGAATATCATGGTCAGCAGTGTTTTTGAACTCTGCATCTGATAGGTTGGCTATCTCCATTTTGTTTAGTTCTTTTCCTGGGGTTTTGTTCTGTCCTTTCATTTGGGCCATGTTTCTTTGTCTCCTCAATTAGGCAGCCTCCTTTTGTTTGTTTCTGTGAATTGGGTAGAGCTGCTTTGACTCCCTGTAAAAGGCACACGTAGAGTGTGGAGCGGAGCCTTAGGTAATCACCAGGGCAATCTGCTTCACCTCTGATTCTTCTTGGAGGGAGGGCTTGGAGAGGGGACTGTGTCGCTGCCGGGCTTCTGAGGGCTTGCCCGCCACTCACCCCATATGCAGTCACTTCACCCACTTCCTGTATGTGAATGGCACACTTTCAGTTGCTGCCCTGGTGTTGCATCCCAGAGTGGGTGTGTCTGCATACTTCTTCACTGTGTGGGCCCTTTAGGCAGTTTCTTGAAAACCCAGAAGTTTCTCCTGCCACTCCAACCCCCACTGGTGTTTAGATCCAGAAGTTATGGGGATTTATCTTCCCATCACTGGAACCCCAGGCTGTGTGGTATGGCCTGGGGCTGGGATTGTGTGCTCCCAAGGTATCCCTCTCAATTTTTATCCACTACACATGGATGTGGGACCGTCCATGCCCGTTCTGCCATTGCCACTGACTCTGTGCCCTACCATCTCCGCCCCTCCTACCCATCTGGATGATTGTGGCTTCTTCAAATTCTTGGTGGTTGGACTTCCATACAGTTCAATTTTCTGACAGTTCTGGGTGTTACTTATTTTGAGATTTAGTTTTAATTCTTTTATTCTTTTTGTTGTTGCACGAGTAGGTGAAGTGTATCTACCTACGCTTCCATCTTGACCAGAGGTCTCCCACATTCTACAAGATTCTTTGGGTGAAAATGAACTATATGGCAATGAATTCGACAAGGCATTAATATTTAATTTCTCACTCTTGCACTCTGCTAAACAGTGAATAGAATTTCTGGGACAGTCAGTCCTGGTGATTTCTGTGGGTTGCGTGTACCAGGCCTGGTCCCTTGTCCTGGTACAGGGACCTGTTTCCCATTCTCAGGTTCTAAGGGGGCTCTTTCCACTGCAAGAGCCAGAAGGGATAGCGTGTGTCCCACTGTCCTGGGCCTCCAATCTGGCAGCACCTTGTGACTTGGGGAGATATATTGATAGCTAAGCCTAAAGGCCATAGGCACAACTGGGGCAAGGTGGGGCAAGGGACAGGCAAGGAAAGGCAGCAGACCAGTGCAGATCTGCGGGACCTAGGGGTTACCCACACCCACCCACCTCAGTCCTTCTCGTTAGGGAAGTGCAGTGAGTGGGGTGGCTGTTTACCAACCACAGACATTCACGCCCAAAATGGCCTCATTCCACCTCTCCTTTTTTCTTTTGTGATGAACACAGGGCTTGAGCCAGGAAACCTGGGTTTGAACTGAAGCCCCCCTCCAATTACTAGGCAGGTAGGCTTTCCTCAATTTTCTCATCTGTGGACTGGGGGATGCTAATGACTTAACAGGGAAGGACCTAGAAGAGGGACAAGCTCAGTCACTCTTAGTTGTGGCCATGGGTGTGCGGCCCACATGCATTCAGAGTGTGGTGTGGGGCAGGCACAGGGCATAGGCTATGGAAAAGACAGTTGAGGCAATGAAGACATAGGAGGCCAGTTCTCCTGAGCACTGTGGGCTCACTTTATTTCACCAGTAGCACCTGATTGCTTCTTCTACTCCGTGAAGGGCAGAAGAGCTTCTGCAGCACCCCAAACAGGCCAAGGACAGTGCCCACCAGCAACATCAGTTTTAGCCCCTGGAGGACAGAGTCCTCCTTCCCCTTCCAAGCCTCCTCTGCTTCCTGCTGTTGTCTAGCTTCCTCTCTCCGCAGAACCTCCAGAGTATCCAAATTGGGCCTGGGGTTGAATCGAGCCATGAACTCCTGCTGCACGAAGCACCTGTAAATGGCTGGCTGGAAGACCTGCAGTCGCCTGCCGCCACTGGAGGGGTCCAGGACAGTGCTCACGTCCTGGCCAGAGAGCTGGCCCTGCCAGGTCAGGGGTGTGCTGTCGGATTCCCAGATGATGGGCCTGCAAAGGAGGGCAAGGTCAGCTGTAACACCCTGGGAGAAAAGGGACAAATATCTGAAGGAGGTGGAGGCAGCAGCACCCTCCTCCCTAGGAAAGAGCAAACAGCACCCACTCTGAGGAGCACTATGCAGCAGTGAGCAATGGGAGAGTGGGGCACAACAGCTGGGAGTTTTTGGATCCATACCGCATACTGAGCTGGCTACGTGGCCAAAGGCCTCCAGCTCTGTGAGCTTCCATTTTTCCATCTGAACACTGGGAGTATAGTAATTGTATCTACCTCAGAGAATTATTTGGAGGAATTAGCAAGAATGCTCTGTAAATGTTTTGTTCCCCCGTTACCTGCCTGGCCTCACTTCCTCCTCTTCCCCAGTCACACTGGCCGCCCTGATGTTCCTCTGACAAGCTGGGCATAGTCCTGCCTCAGCGCCTTCGCCCTGGGTGCTCCCTTTGCCCGGAATGCACTTGGCTCCCTCACCTTCTTTCAGTCTTGGCTGAAATGGCATCTTCTCAGAGATGCCTTCCCTGACCTCCTTATTTAAAACTTCTACTTCACCCACTCCCATCTTCCCTTCACTGCCTTTATCACCATCTAAAATATTGAATATTTTGTTCATGTGATTGATTATTGCTCTTTCAAGGCAGGAATCTTTTTCAGTTTTGTTTTGCACTGCATTCCAGATACTAGAACAGTGTTTGGTTTATAAATACCCAATGGTAACTGAATAACACTGTAAGTGAATAATGTGGAAAGTGAATAACTGAACCAGGCATTTAACACTCCCACTGTGGTGAGAAACAAAGACGACACTCAGACACACTTAGGGCAAGGCCAATAATCATACAAGGAATAACTAACATCTATCAGTGTGGAACAGTTTGTCAGATGTTGTTGCCTCGCCAGGCATTTGCCCCCTTGGGCATCACAATTACCCTGTCAGGCCAGGGCTAGCAAGACCTCTGTACTGAGATGGATAGTGTCCTCCCCAAATTCATGTTCTAACTGAACCTCAGAATGTGACCTTCTTTGGAAATAGGGTCATTGCAGTAGTGTTGGCCCTAAGTCCAACATGACCTGCGTCCTTATAAGGAGGAGAGACAGAGAGACACAAACACGCGGGGCGAACACCAAGTGATGATGGAGGCGGAGATTAGAATGATGCAGCTATAAGCCAAGGAAGCCCTAGGATTGCTGGCCACCACTAGATGCCAGGAAGAAGCAAGAATCCTACCCATCACGAGACAGCTCATGGCCCTGCTAACACCTTGATTTTGGATTTCCGGCCTCTAGGACTGTAAGAGAATAAATTCCTGTTGTTTTCAGCCACCCAGTTTGTGATACTTTGTAATGGCAGACCTAGCAAATTAATACAACCCCTATTCTACAGATGGGGAAACTGAGGCCTAGAGAAACACCACAGGACAAAGTCACACAGCTGGAAAATAGCAGAGCTGGGGTTGGAACCCAGGCCTGGGTGAACCCAGGGCTTGAGCCAAAAACCTCACACAAAGTGCCATTCCACTCAGCTCTCTAGACACATGGGCTATTCTGGAAGTTTCAGCAACCTCTCTTCACTCTTCCTTTGAACTCCCAGTGACTGGCACCTGGGAACTCCTTGTCTGGCAAATGACATGAAATATATGCCCCCGTCTAGTTGGGAGGACGAACTCATAGTACTTTCCTGTGGTATTTTTTAGGGAGTGGGTGTTATTTTTATACTTAAAAAGGGAGGAAGAAAGGAGGAAAAGAGACAAAACAATATGAGAATAAGAGAGGAATAGGAGCCACAGCCGGGATAAACAAGGAAAAGAAAACCTGAAAGGGGTGGTGAGGCCAGATCCTACAGAGCCCATAGCTGCAGAGGGTCCAGAGGTTGCGAGGGCTCTCCCCTTGCAAGGGAGGGGCTGCTGATGGGGTGCATGGGAAAAAGGGCAAGGGGACTCTATGACATATGTGAGATTAAGGGTCTGCCATCTCCCACCACAAGTCTCCTTGGTCAAGGACTGCATCCCTCCCAGCTGCAGTTTCCCCATCTATAGATGGCCTTCCTTGGAGCCCACAGCTCCTGGGGCCAGGACGAAGGGATGGAAGAGGATGTGGTTTGCAGAGTTTGCTCAGGGCTGGCCCCCATTGAAACAATGAGTGGTTCTAGTTCTTATTACTGGGGTTGCAGCAACTGGAATGGGGTAGAAGAGGCCAATGGCAAGACTCCCCAGGGACTTCAGGCAGGAAGACAAGAATATGCGTGCGGGCTGCAGAAGGCAGGCTCTGGAGGCCAGTGGAGAGAGACTGTGGGGCTGACCCATGCAGAACCCCCCCTTCTCTGCACAGATTAACCATGAAGGCTTTCAGACTGAGGGAGCCTGGGTAGGGACAAGGGGAGAGCCCGTGCACACTTCCATCACCTGTAGATCGATCCTAAGGGGCAAGTGAGCCACGCAGATCCTGACTCCTCACTGAGCTCAAAGCTGTCAAAAATAACGTTCTCCACATCTGATGTTTTACATTGGATATAGCAGGCTTCTATCTGCATCTCAGGCCGCATGCGCCTGGTCTGAAGACGAGCACTACCCAGGTAGATTGAGCAGGGTATGGGCTTCTCCAGGGGTTCCTGGATGTAGCAGTACCCTAGGCGTTTCCGTTCACCTGGCTCCCCACAGCGGTTACAGTCCTGCCAGGGGTCCCAGTGGGTGAAGATGAGCTCCTTGTGGCCAAGTCTCAGGGTCTCATTCTGCAAGGGCTTTTGGCCCAGATCTCTGTGCGTAATGTGCAGGGTGCTCACATCCTGGAAGTCAATCTCATACTGTACCACTTGGATGCCTTCCTTGTCAATACAGTTGTAGAAGCCTGTCTGGGATGGCAATGGATTTCTAATGAGAATGCCGCCTTCAGGCATTGTTTCTATGTTCGAAACACTGAAGGCAGGGCTGGACCAGTTGGTCCCATCTTGCAGGAAGTAGTACCACTGTGCCCCAGAGGAGTTGCAGTACAGAAGGACATCATTGTTGGAAAGAAGGGCCCGCTGGCACTGCTTGCCATGGGGACAGCTGATGGAAACATAGAACCCTGGCAGTGGGACCACAAAGCTGAGCAGCAGCCACAGGGTGGTCAGCATGGTGGACTGGGACTGTGGCAGTGGGCTGGGCACCACAATGGACATTGTGAGGTCACCCAAGACACTCAGGCCTCAGCCCTGGGCAGCAGAATGAACTGCAGTACACCCTATGGGTGTGTAATGTCATGTGTAATGTCATTTGTTTTGTGAGAAGTTAACAACCCTATTTAATTTCTCTTGTAAGCCCTCCACTTTGCTGGGGTAGGAGAAAACTTAATTTGTCTATTTAGGATTTCCCTGCAACCCCCATGCTTTGGCATTAAAATGTAACATGTAAACATTCAACACACTCTTCCTGAACACCTACTATGTTCTGGGCACACTTTTTAGTACTGGGGATGGAGAGGTGAATAAATCCTCTGGTTACCATTCTGAACTCCTACCCCTTCCCTCTAACCCCTCCAGCCATGCTGGCTTCCCTGCTGTCTGTCCCCTGAATACAAAGCGAAGGGCTCCTGTCTCAGGACCTTTGCACATGCTGGTCTTTCCACAGACTCTGCATGACTCAATTCATTTAAAAAAATAAAAATAAAAAATAATAATAAAAATAAATATTTTTCTCATTTTCCCCCTCCCCAAATCCTTTCCTTACTCCTTCTTAGTCCTGAAATTAAAAGTAGTTGCTGTGCAGGCTTGATCTGCCTTCATCACTCATTCCACAACTGTTTACTGATTGCCTCCCCTGTGCTGGCTGTTCTAGTGACAGCCGTGAACAGGCTGCACAAGGCCTCTGCTCTCCAGGAGCTCACCTTCTAGTGGAAGAGACAGATAAAAATTAAATATATAACACATATCACCAGATGCAGTAGATTCTCATTATTTATAGTAGTTTTTTTTTTAGAAAATGAAAACTTTATTTTTTTTTTTTAAGTCACTGAACTAGCAAATACTGAAACACTGCTTCTAGGAGAAATACAGGGTTAGTGTCTTATAAGCCTTTGGTCATAAGTTTTTTGTCAACTGACCAACATATAACCTTGGCTTAGGTGTGTTTCTGTTTAAAGACACTTTATTTAATATATACTGTTGATTAGTTAATATTGAACTTGTAGCCAACAGTTATAACTCATGCCTGAATAAAACTTATCTAACACATGTATTTTCTCCATCTGACACATTACAGACTTCTTGCACTTAGGAGCATTAGGCAGCACTTCAGGCCTTTGTTTGTGAGCCATTTTTATACAGCAAAATCACACACACACCCCTCAAAGAAAAGGAAGAAATGCAAAATATAGTGACACCAAAAATACTGTAAAAAGGATACTTAATAGTATGAGAGCTAAAACAAAAAGATAGAATGTCACCTCATTCAACCTTAGTTGGGATGGTGCATTGTTAGCTGACTCAATTTTTTCATCACTCTGTGCTTGTCTGTAAATGACTATAAAAGCACTGCGGGTATTGATTTTGGGGGTTACAAATACATTTAGTGAGTAGGTGAATTCACAAGTATGAAATCATGGAATAAAGAGAACCAACCATAATAACTGCTAAAGAGAGAGGTAGAGCCAGGAAATGGGGATAGAAAGGGAAAAGTTGTGTGTGGGTGTGAGCTATCTTAGGGGGGGATGTGATCATCCTGATGGCCTGTCTGAGCTGCTCTGAGAAGATGAAGCTTCATAAACACCTGAATAAACTGAGATAAAGAGCCACGTGGATATTTGAAAGAATATTCCTAGGAGAGGGCTGACCCCTGACATGGCTGTCTGTTTAAAGGCTGCGAAGGCGGAGTGACTGTGGAGTGGACAAAGGAAGAGTGATGGTAGGTGAGGTCAGAGTTCATCGAGTCTTTGCTAAGATACCCTCCTTCCTCTTTCCCTGGCTCCTCAGAGCTGAGGGCTCTCTTAGCTATGCCCTTGCCCCATGTGGGGGCCTCTACAGGCTGTATGTGGCTTAAGCTGTGTGCTGAGACTCTGAAACTGCTGTTTTTATGGTCACCTTGCTACCAACACCACCACAGGAGTGGCACATGCCCTCTGCTCTCACATCCTCTCTCCTCTCAGAGCTATAAAACCATCTAGATTTTTTGTCTGCCTCCCAGGACCTTCTAAAGCCCCTCTATCTAAGCCACATTAACATCTATAGCCCTATTGCTTCCTTTTCATCTCCCTACCTCTCTGCCTTTCTCCTCAGCCCAGGTAATCTTTTCTAAACAGGCAAGCAGGGCTATGAGGGGACTATGAGAAAGCTCACTTCCAACTTTCATTTTATCTAGGTGAGAAGTCACAAACTGGATGAAAAAAAGTCTTAATGGGTCTTGTAGAGTGTTTTTAGAATATTTAAATTAGTGACCAACATGTAAAATCCAAGAGAGTTCATACAAGAATCCAGATTCCTTGCTATTCTGTAAGTAATGTAGGTGATATTTCTGCTTACTGCTATAGTTGAGTAGCTTTTATCAGATTAACCCTCTTGATAATAACAACTGCAGAATTTAAGATAACATTATTCATATGTCTAAGAGGTGACAAGTTGAGGATTTTGAATCTATATAAAAGAATCAAATGAAAATACTATAATTAAAAAATAAAATTTGTGAAATAAAAAATTCACTAGAAAGGGTAATAATCTATTAGACACAACAGAAGAGAGAATAAAGAAAATGAAAGATAGGTCCATAGAAAAATAGCTATACTGAAATATGCAAAGGAAAAAGACAGGAAAAATACAGAAAAGAGTGTGAGAGGTTTATAAGACATGGTGAAAAATTCTAACTTTTATGTAAATAGAGACTCAGAATAAAAAAAGAGACAGAGACATAAGCAATATATGAAGAAATACTGAATGAAAACTTTCTAAGACTGATGAAAGATATCAAGCCACAAATTCAAGGTCTTTAGTCATCTGTGGTGGAATGGCCACCAACCTACAGATTTTTGTGGGAACCCTTAAGATTCCTACAAAAGGGGAGGACAATCACTCTGGAGGTTGAACCTTCAGATGAAGAGAAAATATAAAGGCCAAGATCCAGGATAAGGAAGGCATTCCTCCTGATCAACAAAGACTGATCTTTGCTGGCAAGCACCTGCAGTATGGACATATTGGGTTGGCCAAAAAATCCATATGGATTTTTTCCATAAAATAAATGATATATTTTTTCATTTTTACCAATAACTTTATTGATTTGGATATTTCGAGTACGTAGCTATCTCCTGGGTGGTATAAAATTGACTGTTCTCAATTAATGTCTTGATTTGATTGCTATCAATTTCAACTCTTCTACCCAACCATGGAGCATCATCCAGCAAGAAATCTCCAGCATGAAATATTGCACTTTTGACACATTTGATCAGTCACAGCACTTTCTACACACACTGCATAAATCTTCTTTTGCGTTTCAGTTGTGGTTTTACATTTCTTGAAATAGTAAGGCATAATATGCCAAAGATAGTGTATTTTCTTCTATCTTCAATATTAAAATGGCTACATGAAATTCATCAATTTTGATACGTTTTTAAAAAATGCATGTTGATATGCAACTGTTACAATACAGTCTAAAAATTGTTTAAAGTGAAGTTAAAGACAACTAAGTGCTACTACAGCCATCTTACAGAAGAAAACTGGTGTAGTAGCTATATTAAAAACAGAAAGTAGACATACAGTCAAAAGTATTAATAGAGACTAAAAGAGACATTTTATTAAATGGTCAATCCAACAGAAAAAACCAAATGAGCTTTTTGGCCAACCCAATACTTTACTTGACTACAACACTCAAAAGAAGACTACTTTTCATCTTGTTTTGAGACTTAGTGGTGGTGCTAAGGAAAGGAAGAAGTCTTACACTACTCCCAAGAAGAATAAGCATAAGAGAAAAGAGGCTGAGCTGGCTGTCCTGAAATACTACAAAGTGGATAAGAATAGCAAACTCAGTCATCTTTGCCAGGAGTGCCCTTCAGAAAAACGTGGTGCTGGAGTTTTTATGGCCAGCCACTTTAACAGACATTATTGTGGCAAATGTTGTCTAACCTGTTGCTTCAATAAAGTGAAAGACAAGTAATTGTATATGGGTTAATAAAAGACAAGAACTAAAAAAAAAAAAAAGTCTTCAAATCCCACACAGGATAAATATAAAGAAAACCACACCTAAGCACTTCACAAGAAAACATTAATAAAGACCAAAGAGGAAATTTTAAAAATGGTCAAGGAAGGAAAGATACATTACTTTCAAAGCAACAGTCAAAAGACCCCACATTAACTTAATAAAAAATAATGGAAGCTGGAAGACAATGGAAGGACATCTTTAAAGCACTAATGGAAAATGATTGCCAGTCTAGAACTCTATATATAGAATTCTATATACTACAATGAAAACATCCTTCAAAGACGGAGGCAAAAATAAAGATATTTTCAGATGAAAACAGAGAATTCACCACAGCAGAGCACACTAAAAGTAATATTGAAGAGAATTCTCCAGGCAGCAGGAAAATGATCCCAAATAGAAGCAATGTAGTTCAGGTTAAAAAAAAAAAAAAAAAAAAAAAAAGCACTGGAGGAGTAAAATGTAGGTAAAACTAAATTAATATTGAGAGTGTTTTAAAATAATGTGTCATGGGGCTTAAAATATACATGAAATATAAATACCTGATAACCATAGCACAACAGATGGAAGGGGAATACAAAGAGCTACAAGTTTGCAAGTTCTCTGCATACCTAGGAAATGATACAAGTACAAATTTATCTTGTACCCTAATGAGTGAGAATTAATGTTGTAATCTCTAGAGCAAATAATAAAAGAATAACAGAATCTATACCTAATAAGTTACTAGAGAGGGAAATGGAAAAATAATTTTAAAAATATTTGGTGAATCCAAAGCAAGAAAAAAAAAAGAATCAAAGAAGAGAAGGAACAAGTAGGAAAATAGGAACATTTTAGACCCAACTATATTAGTAATTACCTGAAATGCAAATGAATTAAATATTCCAAGTAAAAGACAAAGGTTTTTAAGCTTAATACAAAAAGAAATATCTAAATATATACTGCTTAAAAGAGGCTCACC